TCCGTTCCACCCACACGCTTGCAGATTAGAATATGCTTGGATAAGATAGGATTTTGGTAGGAATCGGCTGAATATGAACGTCAAGCCGTAGGGCATCAAAGCGTCTGCCTAAAACTGACGAGTGTGTGTCGTTGGAAGAAGAAGAGAAGAAGAAAAAAGCGAAAAAAATCGGGCACAAGTCGTTCTCTCGGGAAGCTTATAGTGGCTGACTCTGCAAGAATAGCAGGAAGTCCCTTGCAATGAGCTGGGTCCACCGACTCAGAACTATCTACCCCGCTCAATGTTTGGCTCGTGGTTGATGACATGGTTCGGGGATATAGTTAAGAGCACTGGATTCAGAGGATTGACAGATACCCATGTCATACACACGGACAAGGGACCGTTTGCAGGGAACTGCATGCTTTCTTCGCCCATCTGAATTGACAGCCAACTCCGATGATCCAACCGAGAGATCATTGCTGGCTTAGCCAGTCCCAATCCCGTGAACATTGTGTGGCGCGCAGCGCCGTTCAAATCCTTCTGAGAATTCCGTAAGCGGCAAGCATTATGTTGGGTGAAAGGAAGTGATATAAAAATAGGTGGTCTCAGACGAAAACGTGTACTGTACATCAATATGCATGTACGAGTATGTACAGGACTGCCGCACAGCACACGTATAGTTAGCTCTGTTTAGCCGTTCTCGTAAAGTAGGAATTGTTCTGCGATTTCTCAAAATTTATGAGCAGATGCTGCATTGCCTCTTCTTTTGCTATTGAGATGTGTCATAACTCACTGCGGAATAACATATTTACTACCCCTAAAGCTAACTACTGTATGTGAAATGTGCCTAGTACATACACAGTATTAATAACCATCAGCGTTGTTAACTAGTTAAATGAAATAAACCTGTTCTGTTCAATCGTGTTTAGCTTTGTGTCATTGTCTCCATGTGCACGCTCAAGAACTACCATTTATCCCCTCATCTGGCCGCGAGGCACAATTAGCGCAATACTATTAGGGCCCGATTGGTAAGTCTCAGTAAGTCTCAGTATTACGGCAGCCTATAGTGACAAATGTGTCAAATGGGTTTTTTTGATGTTTTCCACTGTAATTACCTAATTCCACTTACATACACTGATAGAAATTTATACTAGAAAGCAATACGAGCCTTGGATTCTCTAAGTACTGTACAGATTAT